AACCCAGCAGTAAACCCACAGAAACAGAGAACTAAGACCTCAAATTTGATGCTATTTACAGCATGCTTTGTAAAAGCTACCGGTGATTCACCTAATCACGTTTTTACAGTATGCTCAATGCTCAGGCAAAACACTGAGGATCCAAGTGCTCTGCCACATATCTAACAAAAGGCATCAGGTCACTTGAAATGTAAAGTCCCTGGCGTAAGGACCATCTTTAGTTCCATGTCTGCACAGCACCAGGTGCAATGGGCACCGTAAGAATTAAAATGATTCACAGCATCTTTCCACTGACCCCATCAAGTGTTATTAAAGGAGTAAAATCAGACCATTTCCATGGGCTATCCACAAGGTCTCTTACCATAAGCCAGGGGCAGGAAATTATTTTGGGCAGAGAGCCGCTTACTGAGTTTTGGCAAGCCATCGAGGGCTGCATGACAGGCAGCCGAGGGCAGATAAATATTAATTTTCTAAATTTTTTAGGGGCCCCACGGGCCAGACAGAATGGCTTGGCAGGCCACATCAGGCCCCCAGCCACATTTTGCCCACCCCTGCCATAAGCCCTTCCCTTGTCACCCTGACCCCACAGTTCCTGGATAAGCCAAGAGATTCAAATACCCATACTATAGTGTAAAAACCCTATGTAACCCAGCACTGACAAGAGCTGCACAAAGAAATCAGCTATCAGTTGCACATATTGTGGGAAAATAATTAGGCACCAGACCTGGAGATGGGCCTTGAACAAGCAGAAAATGCAAGGAAGCAGAAATAGGAAAAGTTTTCCCTCTGCCTACCTCAACATTTCCTTTCTTCTAATACATGCTTTCCTTATTTTACTTCAAGTTTATTTTTAGCAGGGGCAAATGATAACACAAAACCTAATTTGTTTCAGACATCTTTAATTCAACACAAAGTAAGGGGACATACCTATTAAACTTATAACTTTTCACATTAAAGGTCAATTTAAGTATAAGAGCCCATTTAACTTAAAGGCAAAGGCATATATCCCTGATGATTAACAATAATCAGTTCAGTGTGAACTCCTGGTAAAAAGCAAAGACAAAGGATTTCTTTAACATGGTGCCACACTCTGGGGATAAGGAAATTATACATGGAGGAGACTGTTTTTCCTGGACAGATTTGATAAAAGATGTTAGAAGAGATAATGGAACAGGTGCAGCGGTCACTTTTCTATACCAATAATTCAAGCTCTTCGGTTTACCGGGCAAAACTGCCATCCGGAGAATGAACACATTCAATCTTATTCTCTAAGGCCGTTGACAGATGTGGAAAAACAGAAAACAAAATGGAAAAAACCTCTGTGCATTACCAAAAGGTGAAATGCATTAGTTGGACCCGGCTCCCCAGCATCTGTATAGATCGCGTGCTTCAGTGGGGCCTTTTGGCACTTTTATCTAAAGCCAATTCAATCAGCAATTAGATAAAAGCGCCAAAAAACCTCGCTGATATGATCTATACAGACACTGGGTGAGCTGGGTCCAACTAACGCGATGCCTCTTCCGGGCATGTGCTACACTCAGCACGGGGGTGCACCGAGCTGGAAGTAAAGTGCTGGTGTTGTTGGGTTTCCCCCCACCCACATCTGTAAGCAGCCTAAACCCTTAATGAAAAAGAAAGATTTGCAAATGTTGATACTACTAAATGCCTGGTCCTGCTGCACTAGAATTAATATTTGATAGTTGGGATGAATCTCAAATGTATTCTTTTTTCTCCCGGACAGAGATGCACAACGGGATATTGTTCAATAATTACAAACAACCAAGATAAACAAGGGGAAAAATTCCTAGAGGAACCAGGGTAAAGCAGGACATACGAGTTAGTTATTAAGCAGAACCCTTAATTTATTTGGGGGGGGGGAATGAAAGTCAAAGCCAGACTAGACAGAAAAGTTACAAGAAACTATTAAGACATAGCTTCAAAAAGAGCTTACTAACTATCTAGCATTAGTTGGGTCTGAAAATGTTAATGAAGGATGCCACCGGGAAAAAGAATTCATTAGGTGTACAAGACAGATATTTCATTAAAACAAGTATCAAACAGACTCTGGCTTAGAAGCTTAGGAAGATTCAAGAGCAATGCCTTATTGCACCAAACCAAAAAAGAAAAAAACCCCCCAAAAGTGATGATTCATCCCAACAGAAATATGCACTGTTGTGTATAAAAGCCCTAATACCAATACTCCAGCTGCTAAAACTATTAAAAATGTGTGGAAGTTGCAGAATGACGAGATCTATGCAACTGATGAGGAACCTTTGGAAAAAGAAACAACAGAAGACATTTTCGAGGCAAGGAGTAAAACCTTGTCAGGACACGATGACTTTGCAGGAAAATTTGTAGAAAGTATTTAAGAGATATTGGTAGCCCCTTTATGGGCCTCCATTCACACCCTGCTGTCAGACTGTTAAAGCTCCTCCTCTGTTAGCAGTTAGAAGTTCATATTGCTCTCCCCTCACACTGCAAAGAAAGCTTTGGATAGTGAAACATCCTGTTTCAAGTCCTATCCCCACATCCTCCCAGAGAAAACACAGGCAGAGCTGGGCAGTTCTGCACCCAGGGCATCTGCACGATGTCAACTGCAGTGCTGCTTGCTGTGCTGTCAAATCAAAGTGGCGCGATCAGTTGCCGCTGCAGCCGTGGCTATTTTTGACCCCCCAAACCAGGCTGCTGCTGCCCCCTGTAGCCTCCCTACCCCTCAGGTACACAACTGATTTAAAAAAACAGAACAAAACACTACATATCAGCCCAAAGACAGCTCAGCTATTCACTGGGGTGAGATTTCCCATTTAAATTACACAGGGCATTGTCTCCTTTAAATTTCTGCATTGACTATTTCCATGGAAGAGAAGGAATAATGAAGCCCACAGGGATAAAACCTGCAAAAACAGCAATGAAAATATCTGCATGCTAAATATGTCATGGCATTACACCAAAACATTTCTGTGCAGTTGAGAGGCATTACGCTCCAAATGGCATGCACCTGCTGGAGGGAGCTTTTTCCAAATGCAACCCGAGCATGCTTAGGGAAGTGCCGGGCAGATACTGCACCCGTTTTAGGAAGGTGAGCGAGACCCTCTCAAACTTGCTCAATGAGCAAGTGGTGATAGCTGGCAGCTATGGCGCATGCACACCACATGCCAGGTGGAGAAAAAACAACTCCAGCTTGGGAGCCCACGATATGCTCAGCATCTGACAACGCAAACTTGGGTTCACAACAGCTTGCGCTCCATGTACCTTATTTAGTTAGGCTATAAAAGGTGCACATGTACTCTGCCTTCATGCTCGATTCTGCTGAAAGCCTGCAAAGAGGGGAGTGACCACAGCAGGAAGCTCGTCCGGTAACTCTTTGTTCTTCATAGAGCAAAAAGACCTGCAACCGGAGTGCAGGCATGCAAGAGCAGCTGCTCTTCCGGTTTCCTTCCATGGACTCAAAATATTAGTTTTCAAGGACTGCAAATCACTGGTTTACAGTGCATTCTCCACAGAGGAACAATGTAATGCACCTTGTTATTCTCAATCTATTTTTTGTATGATTTTCATTTATTATTGGTCATCCACTTGTGGTTATACTAAAACGAGTTGATAATTTTAACTGCTTCCTTGATTCATTATTATTCACTGAGACACCTTAACTGTTAAGTGCCCCACAGCAGGTGCTGCTGGTCTATCAAGTGAACCCAGAGGTGTTGCGCGCCTTACTCTGCAAAATCCGTACTACGACACTAAACGTTTCCACCAAAAAAAGAGCATTTACAGAAATCCATAGCTTCACAAAAGCATCTGGTTTGAGAATAAATTATGCCAAATATGAAAGACTAGCTATAAATCTGTCAGACTTGGAGAAGACCTCCGTCCAGAAGAGATCTGACTCCAAATGGACAAAACAAAACAAAATCTAAGACACGAGTGAATTCAAGCCTTAAATCACACAGCTAAATTAACGGGTCGCACCTCTAATGCAGCTATTAAAGAAAAACAACTGCGGTGCAGAGGGAAGCAAGTTATTTCTTAGTGGGAAAGGACAACCATAGCAACAAAAAAAAAAAAGGGGGGGGGACATTTTGCCATGGACATTTTTCTTGTTACAAAAATCTTGCTACAGTCAGTCCTGGCAAAACTCCAGAAGAAACCAACAGGCACAATGCTGGACTCCACATGGAATAAAAGGGAGTGAGTGCAGGCAGTACGCACAAACCCGCTGAAAAGCCACCACCACCACCTGGATAAAGATTAGAGGTTACATAGAGGCTTTCTTATAATTACTGAGTAATGTTTCTCACAATTTCAAAAGTTATTCCACCACAAAGGAATTCACAGATCAATTTGACAGAGACCTGTATGCCCCACCGAGAGGAGAAATTTAATGTTGGTATTTGCAGAAGATGAAAGATTAAAAAGCAGTAATGTACTAAAAGTTTTTTTGCTTGAACAGCATTTTCTCTTTACTATCTTAAAATTCTCTCTTTGTATTTTCTTTTAACTTTCAGGTGTCTTATTCCTGTGACCTCTGTGTACCTCCATCGTACAATCTACTCACAGACTCATTCATCAAGCTCCTGGCGCTTGCTTTTCCAGTTTCTTTTCAGTAAAAGCCAAACCAGTCTATTAGCCAAGGAGTAACTTTTCTTCCCTTCAAATTACCCAGCATTTCACACACATGAAATTTATGAGTTCGGGTCCATAATGAATCAGAGTAGGTACATTCACACGGTGATCTACGACATTCCCACTCGCCAGCACTTCTGAGACAACATCTTTGCTTTTAATAACTCTCTATCCATCCAAAGACAACATTAACGATTATTCTGAGGACTATAGAACAAAAAAAAATTCAAAGTTCAAATTTGAGATTATTCTCCTGAACTGATTTTCACTTTGGCAGCCTCTTCCCCAGGCAACCTTCCAACTGTCACAAAACCTTTTAAAGGCGTTATAAGGGAATACACAGCAACAACCTGAAAGAAAGAAAGAAAGAAATGTACCTAGCATTAAGACTGCATCGCAGAAAGGTCCTTCCACAGTCAAAAGGCAGCAACATCCGACCCTAGAAACTATGAAACATCTCTTGTGCAAACAACGTCAAGTTCAACATCTGAATGTGGACACGTTCCCCTTTTTTTCCAGCATCCTCTTACGAACG